CGAAACAAAACAAGATCGGAAAATAATAAAAGCGTCATATCGAACACGCTCGACCAAGCAAATAAATCCATGTCCGTGATTACGATTGTGGTACAAAATGTATTAATTTTTTCGTCACATTTGAGTAAATTCTGCAGATGAATGACGTCACAGCCGAGCAGACGATACAGCCAGCCAGCCATAGAGTAGTCAGTCAATAGTCAATATCCGTAGTGACTATTGATTGTTGGTGTATGTGCGTGTGTGTGCGCGTGTGTGTGTGTGTCTGTGTGTGTGTGTGTGTGTGTGTGTGTGTTTCTGTGTGTCTGTGCGTGCGTGTGTGTGTGAGTGTGTGTCTGTGTGTGTATGAGTGTGTATGTGTGTGTGTATCAGCCGAGCAGACGATACAGCCCTCAATAGAACAGTCGGTCGATAGTCAATATCCACCATGACTATTACAATTTATTGTTGGTGTAAGGCGACATCTGTCAGTAACTGTTTTTGGTTGTTGTTTTTTTGTTTTTTTGGTAAGTGTTTTACGCACGGCGCTTGCAACTGTATAAAGTCATATGAACGCGCGGGACACCTTAAACTTTTTCGGTTGGTAGGAAATTTTGAATTTTGCCCGGGTGGCGGCCGAAGCCTATTCTTATCGATTTAAGACCACCAAGGGATCTTTAACGGTGCGCAACTTGCACACGAGCACTCCGAGATTTTTCGCCCTTGTCCGATAAGGCTAGGTATAGATCTTTCCTACCAGAAATCATGGGTATGGCTAAAAAGCAGCAGTAAGAAGGAGCCAAGGAGTAGCAGTAGAAAGGCTGCAGAAAAGGTCAGGAGCCCAGAGGAGGGGGCAAAGGAGGTGAAGGGGTGGTGAAAGAAAGAGGAGATGAAAGCAGACGACAGAACATTGCTAGAGAGCAGGAAAGGAGGTGAAAGGAAAACAAATTAGAGAAGAAAATGTTCCGGTCGCTAACCGGATTCGAACCCGGGACCTTTGAATGAGAGGCGAACAGGTTAACTTCTAGGTCACGAGAGCTCCTCAGTAACTGTGGTTCTTTGTGACGTCACAGTTAGGTTGGCTTTTGCACTTTTTACACTGTTTTCTCGGTTTGACACCCCCCTCCCCTCCACCCCCACTCTTGTCCCCATCCTCGCCATTACACTGTTTTCTTCTTTCCTATCAAACATCTTCCGTCCTTATCTCCCCTTCTACTTTTTTATGCTTGTTTCTCTCTTGTAACACCTCTAATCTTCTGGGCGCTCATATGACCTTATGCAGTTGCGAGCGCCGTAAAACCTCTACTAAAACTATTTTAAAAAATTGAATTCTGAGGTAGCGATAAAAAAGAAGGAGGAGAGATAAAAACGATAGATGTATGATAGGAAAGAAGGAGCTAACCACACCAGAGCACCCGCCAACCACCCACATTACTTCTCTGACAGAAGCTCTTACTTGTCCTCCTCGAACTCGCTGATCTGGAACCTGGCTCCCCGTGAGGCCAGCACTGACTTCTGGTTCCTTCCCCGGGGGTAGCTGTACGACCAGTCTTCTCGCTGTGGGTATAAACCGTCGTCGTCGTCGTCGTCATCATCATCATCATTCAAGCAAAAAATTGTTGGGGACTGGAGTATTTCAATATTTATAACATTGTAAAATAAATTCTATCATGATCCTCATCACTTTCATCAACATCATCACCCTCATCACAACAGTGGATAAAACCAGTAACTTACCTAATATGGACTAGACGTTTTTTCCTCCTAAAATGAACATACAAAATGTATACTGTAGGTTAAAAAAAAAAAATCTCCTGCATTAAAAATAAACAACTTAAAAAGCGTCGTTAACCTATACGAAATGCAGTTACAAATTAAAAAAAACAACAACACATCTACAGGAGATTTTCTTAACAGGACACAAAGGAACAAACATACAGAGCTTGCACACATATACACAGATGGATAGATAGATAGATAGATAGATAGATAGATAGATAGATAGATAGACAGACAGACAGACAGACAGACAGACAGACAGACAGACAGACAGACAGACAGA